GACAACAGAAAAACCTTTGATAATAAACATTTATGCACCAAATCAAAAACAGGAACAGTTTTTTAAAAGTTTAAGAAATCTGCTAACAATACACAATACAACAGAATTATGTATGATTGGAGATTTTAATGCAGTAATTGATGGGAACAAAGACAAGAAAACGCAAGTTGCACATAAAAAAATCAGGAAATAAATTGCCAAAAGAATTCTTAGAACTGGCAGAAGAACATAGTTTAGTAGATGCCTGGAGAGTGAGGAATATAGGGAAACGTGATTACACATTTTACTCAGCAAGACATAATTCATGGTCTCGGATTGACATGGTCTGGATTTCAACCACATTAGTCCCGGAAATAATAGAAGCAGAAATATTACCCAATACATTCGCAGATCATAGTCCCTTAATGTTAACATTAAAAGATAAACAGTGGAAGATAAGATGGAGGATGAATTAAAAATTAATAAAAGATACGGAATTTGATTTTAAAAATGAAAGAAAAAATTACAGATTTCTTTAAACGAAATATTCAACCAGAAACCTCAATAGAAATAGTATAGGATGCATTTAAAGCGTATCTGAGAGGCTGTTTTATTAATCAAGAAGCTTGTTTTACGGCAAAGTACTATAAAAAATTGAAAGAAGAGTTAATTCCGGTCCTGGAAATGTTAACAAATGAAATAAGAGACACGAAAGATATACCTGATTCTTGGAAAGACGCTATTATATCATTGATACCCAAAGAAGGCCAAGACTTAACCAATGTGAAGAGTTATAGACCAATATCGCTTTTGAACAATGATTACAAAATATTTGCGAAAGTAATAGCTGAAAGAGTAAAGAAATATTTACAGACGGTGATTGCGGAAGAACAAGCTGGTTTCCTACCGAATAGACAAATTCGAGACAATTTAAGAACAGTAATAGACGCAATTGAGTATTATGAAAAACATCCAGAAAAGGAAGTAGCCTTTTTATTCTTAGATGCGGAAAAAGCATTTGATAACTTAAATTGGGACTTTATGTTTCAGATGTTTGAAGAATTGGAAGTGGGGCGTCCGTTTAGCAACATGATTGAAGCGATCTATTCGGATCAAAGAGCGAGGCTGAATGTGAATAAGGACTTGACGGATCACTTCATGGTGCAAAAAGGGACACGGCAGGGCTGCCCACTTTCACCGTTGCTTTTTATTTGGGTGTTGGAGATTCTGTTACAAAAATTGCAAAAAGATGAAGAAATTAAAGGACTCAAATTTGGAGGTTACACCTATAAATATAGGGCTTTTGCGGATGATGTGATGTTTATGGTGGAGGAACCAGAAGAAAAACTACCGTTGCTGTTAAAGAAGATTGAAGACTTTGGAGTGCTGGCAGGGTTTTATATAAATAAGAATAAAACTAAACTTTTATGTAAGAATATGACAAAAAAAAGACAAAAGG